TCCTCTGGTGGGACAGGTCCTAAATATATGTTTTACCACCTCTTGGTTATAGTGGATCGTCTTGACACATGGTTCTCATGAGCTCCATGGTTGGAATAGGAGTAGGGCAGAACCTCTTAAGGTTATCAAAGGAAACCAAACTGGATAATAGACTAACATTTTGGTTAGCATAGGTTAAACAGCATGAATTAACAGAGCCAAACTAATAACCCCAAACAAACCGTAGAAAGCTTATGTAAGCAAGATAAAAAAAAAAAAAACTATAAGTGAGATTTTGTTACCCAGAGTCCAGTCAGTAAGAGTTACTGTTATCAAACCAGTAGTAAGAACCAGAGAACTGTGCACATATCCAGAAGCCAGGGGTGGCAATGCATCACAGTAGAGGAACTATCTCAGAGGTTGAAAGAGTCCATTAGTCCTGGGGGGAAGGTTATCCTTCACTGTGTATCAACCAGCCAGTCCCTCCTGTGTGGCTGAAACAGGGTCCTAGTCTCCTCAAGCTTTGGCCATGCGTAGACCAGTCAGCTTCCGGAGTGACTGGAGCAGGCCTGTTGTCCTTCTGATCCTCAAGCTTCTCCAGTGCTCCTTTTTCTTGGGGATGGTCAGCTTCAAAGGCGTAGCAGCATCTGGAGAGCACTCCCAGGCCGCAGGTGCAGGCGTGAGTCTGGTGTGGTGAATCCAGGGACCTGTCTTTGCAAACTTGACTGTAGTTGGGGGGGATAAAATAACAGGGAAAGGGCCCTTCCAAACAAGTTCAGGAGCTGAATATTCCATTCTTTGACCCAGACTCAATCCCCAGGCTTGAAGGAGTGTGCACCTGGGTGAAACTTACTGGCAATCTTCTCTAACCCATTGGTTGAGAACCTGTAAAGTTTTCCCTAAGACCTGAAGCTGTCGACTCAGGGTTAATTTTCCTATCTCTCTTAAGTCTCCCTGTAGTCCCCTAATAAGGGGGGGGGGCTCCTATATATTATCTCAAAAGAAAAGAATCCAGTCCTCCTAGTGGGAGTGGATCTAATCCACAACAGTGTAATAGGGAGAAGTTCATCACAATGTGAGTGAGTCTCCTGACACCGCTTACCCAATCGAGCCTTAAAGTCCTGTTCATCTTTTGAACTTTACCAGAACTCTGCAGCCTATAGGCAGAACGTAACTTCCATCTGATATTTACACTCTTGGTCAGTAATCATATCACCTCTGCCCCAAAGCTGGCCCATTGTCTGAGCCAATGATTATGGGGACACCTTACCCTTTTCAGTGGGGGTGGGAAAGGCTTCCACCCAGTCAGAGTATGAACTCACAAAAAAAAACAAAAGTTACTTATAGCCCCGTGAGCGTGCAAGTTCAGTGAAGTTTACTTCCAAGTGTTCAAAAGGTGCTCCTCCTATACTTTGGATTCCTGGTGAAGGCTTTGGCCCCTGACAAGGATTGTTGTGAGCACAAACCTCACATTGTTTGCAGATCATCCAGGTGATGCTTGTGAGCTGGGGATCATAGAAATGTTGACTCAGAACTGTCTCAAGTGCTGTATGTCCAACATGTTTTACTGCAAAACTGTCTGATAAAGGCTGGGGCTAGAATCTCCGGGATGGCTATTCCGGCCATCAGGAAATCTCCACCAGCCACCTGGGAGAGAATTTCCTTTTTCAGTCTTAAATCACTTTTACGTTGGGAGTGTGTTGGCTCCCTTTCTGTTAGCTAGTCAGCCAGGCAGAAGGGCAGCATTTAAACCTGGGACTGGATTTTCTTCCCGTTTCTTGCAGACAGCTAACCTGGCCTCTCTGTCAGCTCTCCGGTTGCCCTGAGCAACCACAGTGTTTCCCTTTCGATGACCTTGGCAATATATAATCACGACCTTCCTGGGAGCCCACAGTGCATCCAAAAGTTCAAGAATTCCTTGCCCATACATCATGCCTTTTTTTCCTCCTGAGTTAATGAGCCCCTTTTCCTTACATAAGGCCCTATGAACATGAAGGTAGCAAACACATATTTTGAGTCTGTAAATATCCACACAGACTCCTGCTGTCAACTGAGGTGCTTGAATCAAAGCAATAAGTTTTACTTTTGTGCTGAAGTTCCCTGAGGCAGATGTTCTGCCTCAACAGTGGAGTCCAGAGTGACCACTGCATATCCAGCCAAACATACCTCATCTTTTATAAAACTGCTTCCATCTGTGAAGTACTCTGCATCAGCGTCCCCGAGGGCTGCTCTGCTGGAGAACACTTCATCCATGACCTCAACACATTTGTGATCAGGTTTTCCAGGTCCAACGGGCAGCAAAGTTGCTGGGTTTAGAGTTCTGAGGACCTCAACGTGGATACGTGGGTTTTCACATAACATGCCCTGATATTTGACCATTCTTTCATTAGTCAACCAATAGTGTCCTTTATATTTTAACGATGTCAAAATTGAATGAGGAACTCTGACAACCAGTTCTTGTCCCATGGCCAGTTTCTCAGCTTCCAACACCAGAAGAGCTGTGGCTGCAAGGGCCCATAAACAAGGTGGCCAGCCCTGGGCTACAGAGTCCAGCTGTTTGGACAAATAGGCCACTGGACGGTGCCATGCCCTCAGCATCTGAGTCAAAACTCCTATAGGTACTCCAGACAGATCATGGACATACAGAAAGAAAGGCTTTCTGAGGTCAGGGAGCCCTGATCCAGGTGCACAGGTGAGTGCTTGTTTAATGTCCTCAAAGGCCTTTTGCTTAGTTGACCCCCACATCAGAGGATCCCATTCTTCCCCCTTTGTGGCTTCATAGAGGGCTTTTGTCATAACTGAAAGTTGGGGATCCATACATGTCTGAACCCAGTAGCCCCCAAGAATTCTCTAGTCTGATGGCAGGTTGGAGGGACTGGAATTGAGCAGATCTCCTGTGTCTTTTGAGGCCCAGTTGCTATTGTCTGTTCTGTTGCCGAGTCAGATGGTAACCAAGGTATTTGACTTTTTTCTTGGTAGATATGGGCTTTTAAGTCAGAGTCCAGTGCTGTCCCAAATATGGTGTACTCAAGCCCCTGGGAGGAACTGCCATTTAGGGAAGGGAGACATACATAGAGCGTCTGGCACTTTAAGATGCAGGAATTTTTTTGTTATCTCCCAGTGCAGGATCTTGGCTGCCAGGATTCTCCAACTCTTAAATCTAATGTGAATCTTAGCAGAGGCTGATGACCTGGGGCATCATTTGTGTAAAAGGCACCTATGTCAACCTCGCTGTGGGCCATCTGCCAAGGTTGGAGGGCAGCAGTGCGGTTCCATTCAGGTCCCAGTGTGGCAGCCACATTGTGCCCACCTAGGTGTTGCTCCTTGTCTGCGTGGCTTTCTCCTCTTGTCAGGTGGGAGCCTGCTCTAACTGTCCATAGTAGCTGTCCTGCTTGTGTTCTTGCTCAGTGTGCCTGGGTGCATGGGGCTCTGTGGCCCTTCCTGCTAGTGGCTCACAGCGTGTGGCTTGGAGCCAGGGTGGCATGTCCTTTTGGAGTGAGCACCCTATGGCCCACTACTGGCTGCTAACATGAACATATTCCTGGTTCATTTGGAGGCTTGCAGGAGCTGAGCCCTCCTGAAGCGCTGGGTCCCGAGCATCTGATTTAGTTCTGTGTCTATGGGACCCCTGCCATATTTGTCAATCATCCACTTCTGAGCAAGTGGAAGAAACTGTTCATTCCTTCTCTGTTCAAGGCTTAGCATTTGAACATGGCAGGGGGTACTTGTCTGCCAGGGCCATTGGGGACTTCCCATTTTGTCTGGCCACACTTTTTTTCCTTATAAACATTTGTAGCACTGGCTTTGTTCTACTGAGACCCCCCCTTTGAGTGACCTCTGGGTTTGTGGTGAGGGCAGCTGTAAGGAGATCCATCCTCCACTTCATCTTTCTGGTCTGCCTGTCTTTGAGTCTCTGGATCTCGACTGATGAAAACTGTGGTGTCCACCTTCATCAGCTCACTGACACACTTCTCAGTAAAGCCCTCTAGGATTGTAAATTTTGGCAAAGGGCTCCTTGAGCCTGTCCCACAAAGGCTGCACTGATTACCTGTTGCTTCAGCCTGTGCATTTCTTCACTAACAAACTAGCACTGTGGCTGCTACATTTGTATGTGCCCCTCCAAAATACTGTAGGGACAAATGAGGCCAGGCACCGAAGACAGCAGGAACAGTTTTATTTGGCTGCAGCCAGGTTCAGAGGGCACAGCTTTTGCTGTAATCAATCAATCCCCTGAACCCCGAGTTCAGGGAGTTTCAGAGTTTTATACCCAGTGTGTAAGGGGAGGGGCCCAGAAGTTCACAGTCTGCAGAAGTTCACATAAAAGCAGCTTTTTCTCTCACTGTTCTGGGCAAGTTAACCCTTCAAGGAAACACTTGAGAAGGGGAGAGCTTCTTCTCCCCTTTCTTTCCTCCCCCTGCCAGCTGTGACCATGGGCCCATTTGTAACTTATCTTAAAAATGTAGACATTTCTGTGAAGCCCAGCTCAAGGCCAGAGGCCTTGATTGTACATTTCTTCAAAGTACTATACTGGATACCTTTGTGAAAACTAGTAAGGGGGTGTCCAGCACCTGGAGGGCTGGTATCTTCTCAGCCAGTGGCCAAGTCAACAGGGTGACACGAAAATAGGAAGTTTATCTACAATGGACTCTTTGGCTGACAGTCCTAAAATCAGCCATGGTGAAGAGGGCTTTTCTGTAAAGAAAGGGGGTGCCACTTCAAAATGACTTCAATTTCCTAACATCAAAACCCAACAGAACTTAGAATTCTGGTCACCCTAACCCTGACCCAATGCCCAGACCTCAAAAGAAAAACAAAAAAAGACAAAAGCTGCAGCCCAACCCTGCCATTCTGGCCGCCTCCTCGCCTGTCACTCAGAAAGAAGGCTCGCTGGGCTCAGGCTGGGGAGGGCGGAGACTGACGGACGCCCCGTCCAATCAGAAGCCCCCGTGCTGAGCGCTGTGCAATCCTGAGAGCTGTCCAATCCTGAGAGCAGCCAGCGAGCAGGGGGCGGGCTTCCGCAGTCCGGAAGAGATTTATGTCTCCGCGGTCTGCGCTTCCCCTCAGATTCCTGCAGCTGGACTCCAGGCTTCGCTCTTCCCAGGACCCGGGTGGCCCTCCCAGTCAGGGGCCGAAGCTCCCCAGGGCAGGCTTGTCTGCTGGGCACCAGGAAATGGTGAGTGTGCGGTGGCCCCTGGTGCCTGGACCGGGAGGCTCGGCCGCGGGACCGGCTGTGGCGGGAGCCCGAGCTGCCCACCCGACTCCGGGCGCTCTCTGAGACCACAGGCGTGAACCCATTGGGGACAGCGCCCCTCAGTCCCCCGGGCCAGCCGGGTGGGGAGCGTGACAGTGGCGGACACCCCTCGCGGCCTCCCCACCCCCGGGGGCAGCCTCAGCCCCTGCTCAGGTCCTCTGTGGCAGGGGAGCGCGGTGCCCGGCCTCTTCCCGGCTGAGGTGGAAAGGAATCATGGTGACATGTTGATGGGGTGATCCTAGATGAACCTGGGGGAGCGGCCGTCCGTATAAGGAGGGATTTTATCATTCAGTCTCTTATGTACTGATCTGTGTTTGCATTTTTTTTTCAAATTCTGCAGGTGTCCTTTTAAAAATATGCTTATATGTGATATGTGACATTTATATAACATCCATATAACACTGACACGGGGTTTCATAGTATTGGTCAGACTGTATGCAATATGGCAAAAAAAAAAAAAAAATGTGGCTGATTGCCAGAAATGGTTATTTCTGGATGGAATTTCCAGGGTGTCCTACTGAACTATATCCTCAGCCCTTTTTAAATTTTTACTTGAAAATTTAAATTTTTGACTTAGTTCTTAATTTAATTTTTAAAAATTACTACTGCCTTTCTTTTTTTTTTTTTTTTTAAATTTAGGTAGGGTTTCACTCAGTTGCTTGGGTCAGCTTCACAATTGTGATCTCCCTGCATCCTATCTCACAATTTCTTTCTTTTTTTTACGATGTTTTTTAGGTCATGATTTAATTTTATATATTGTTTTTATTATTTTTTTAAATACATGGTAACAGTGGAATGCATTATGATCCTTATTACACATAGAGCACAATTTTTCATATCTCTGTATATAAAGAATATTCACGTCAACTTATGCCATTATACATGGACTCATTTCTTTCTGCATTACAATTCTTAATACACGTAAGTACCACAATTTTTCATCTCTCTTTGTATGTAAGGTATGTTGACACCCAATTCAAGTCTTCATACGTGTATTTTGAATAATTATGGCGATCATATCATTGTATAATGATAACCCTCACATTCCACCATGCTTGCTAATCCCCTTCCCCCTCCATTTTCCTCCCACCCCTCTTCCCTATGTAGAATTAATCTAATCCTCCCATGCTCTTCCTCCCTACCCCACTGTGAGTTGTGCTGCTATGAACATTGCTGTGGCTGTGTCCCTGTAGTGTGCTACTTTTAGGTCCTTTGGGTAAATTCGGAGAAGAGGAATAGCTGGGTCACATGGTGGTTCCATTCCCAGATTTCCAAGGAATCTCCATACTGCTTTCCATATTGGCTGCACCAATTTGCAGTCCCACCAGCAATGTATGAGTGTGCCTGTTCCCCACATCCTCGCCAACACTTATTGTTGTTTGTCTTCATAATAGCTGCCATTCTGACTGCAGTGAGATGATATCTTAGTTTTTTTTTTTTTGCATTTCTCTGATTGCTAGAGATGATGAGCATCTTTCCATATATTTACTGATTGTATATCTTCTGAGAAGTGTCTGTTCAGGTCCTTGGCCCATTTGTTGATTGGATTATTTGTTTTTTCATCTACCAGGGTCTTTTAAGTCCTCTGTCCTGGACCACAGCTGCTTCATTTGATTCCTCACATTATGAAGCTTCCAGCATCTTGGACCAAGCGGTTACCAGTTTCCCAGTGTTGCCATCCTGCAGGCAAACATTTGGTGACTATTCCTCCCATGATTATGTGAGTAAATATAATAAGCTCCCTTGTATACAAACATCCATTTTTATGTATTTTATTCTCATTTTCTGAAGAACCCTGAAAAATACAGGCATATTCTTAACAAAATGTCTGGGTCATATGGCATCTCTAGTTTTAATTTTTTGAAAAATAACCCTTATAGTTTTTTAAAATATCTATTCAAGTTTATATTTCTGGCAAGGATGTCCACGTGTTTCCTTTCCTGCATATCCTCTGCAGTATGTGCTACCTACCAACATTTTGAGAATAGCCCACAAGCATGTGGTTATAGCTCATTGTGATATAACCTGAAGTCATAAAAATTCCAGAAGAAAACGAGAAGAATTCTTTACCATTCATGTTGGCAATGGTTTTAAATAGAACATGTTGAGAATGTGCAAGGAAAAACAAAGAGATAGGTGAGACTATATAAAGCTAAAAATGCTTCTATGCAGCAAAGGAATCAATCAATGAAATGTAAAACTAGACTGTGGGTAAAAGAAAATCGTTGCTAGCCACATATCTGGTAAAAGCTCAACATCCAAAATATATGAAACTTAGACAACTCACCAAAAAAAAAACCTTTAATAACCTAATTTAAATATGGTAAAATACTTAGATTCTGCCCTAAAAAGTAAACAAGTGTGTGAAGACTTATAAAAGCTACTCAAGATTATTAATTAGGCTAACTAAAATTATAATTTGCTTTAGCTTCTCTGCTTCATTTATCTCAGAGAATTATGTGTGCATACTCTCCGTCCTGCACAGGGCATCCTGAGACATTGTTCAATTCACAAAATGCCAGGTTCTCATTTCCCCACGTTTTGCTTGCTCATCATTCCACCTAATTGCCAAGAAAGTCTGAAGCCTGGAAAACAACCAAATATAGATAAATTGCAAGATAATCATCAACTTTGAAAATTACTTTAGGAATCAATAGAATACATTAGTAGACCCAGATGTGAAGAAATATAAAGTAGACCTACAAATTAACATTCCACTTAATTGCAAATATTTTTATGAGAAGCTGAAAAGCTGATCTTGGGAGCACACGCCCCTAGTCCCAGCTACCTGTGAGGCTACAGCAGGAGGAGGATTTGGGCTAAGGAATGTGAGGCCAACCTGGCAAAAACCCAGCTCCAAAAATCAACCCACCAAAAAACCAAATAGTAATCATATTTAAAAAAGATGCCTTCACAGTTCATTTCTACCAAACATGTAATAAGGAATCAGTAACAGTAATTCATGATCACATTTAAAAATAGAAGAAAATGGACTAATTCTTTCTGTGAGGCCAGAATTACCAGATAACACACATAAGAATGGAAATGGCAGACCGTCTTCTTATAGACGTTGACCCAGGTATTCAAACCCCTAGCAAACTGAGAATAACAACAAAAAGAAAGATGGGACTTCATGACCAAGAGGGACAATATGTAAGTTTCCAAAAATCATTTTGATAGAGAAAAGCTTTTGGCAGATCCCATACTTATGTCATTTATTGCAAAACCTATGGCCAATGAAGACCAGAGGACAATTCTTTTTCAATCCACTAAAGGGCAGCTATGAACTGTTTTCATATTTAATGGTGAGAACCTAAGTGTTTCACAATTTAGTTTTAGAAAAAGGAAAAAGTATGGTTTTCTGACTTCTAAATATTGTTCTGAGAATATTGAACAGCATTTTATACATCAAAAGTCAAATAGCACATGCAGATGATATTCTTATTTCTATAATATTTCTAAGCAATTTCCATGCACTAATGAAACATAAGACCTAAATTAGATCAATAATGTCATGGGTTAAGTGGTCAACATTAAGTCATGTAATTTATACACACTAGCAATGGGCAGTGTTAAAATTGAGGCATAAATCCATTCACAAATATAGGAAAAATAATTTAAAATGAAAGTTATAACAAAAGAACTGTTCACTGCAAAGTAAAAATAAAGGGGAAAGTAAAATGCAAAAAAAAAAAAAAAAATGGAAACAAAGTGGGAAAACAGCTAATATTCAATGATCAAAAGTTTGATTTTGTTAAAACCACAATATTCCACAGTGGGTCTGCAGGTTCAATATGATGAGGCCAAAATCCAAAAGTCATTTTGTAAAAATTACCCAGCTGACTCTAAAATTATAACAAATGCAAAAGAAATTAAATAACTCAATATTGAAGTAAAAATTGTGTGACTTTTATTGAAAATGTGCATTGCAAAAATACGTTGTGTAGGATATTAAATTTGGTTAAATACCTCTTAAATTGCTGATGACCAGTATTCCTCGTGCATGAAGTGAGGGTCTGTGTTAATGTAGGCAAGAATTAGGCTGGGGTTGACATTTGTCATCACAGGTACTACCTGCTGAGCTTGAGAATGTCGATTGCTTTCATGACAACTTTTTTCTGCCTCCCAGATCTTCTGTACCTTTCCTACCATCGATGTTCTGTCTCTTGTATTTCACCCAAATATATCCCAGTGGGTATCAGGTATTGAAATTCACATATATTCCTGCTCTTCCTGCAGCTGTGCACCGGAACAAAAATGCAATTCATTGTCTTGGTGAGTGGTGGAAAGGATTCGTCCTTGATCCTCACACAGGCTGAAGTGTGTTTGTTATTTTTATTTTTTGATTTAAAACAATGACAGTGGAATGTATCACAATTCTTATTACATGTATACAGCCCAATTTTTCATATCTCTGGTTGTACATAAGGGATGTTGGCACCAATTTGTGTCTTCATACATGTACTTTGAATATCGATGTCATAACATTCCACCATCACTGCTAATCCCCTGCCTCCTCCCCTCCCACCCCTCTAATAGAGGTAGAATTTATCTATTCCTCCCATGTTCCCCTCCCTACCCCACTATATTCATCCTCCTCATGTAAAAGAAACCATTCAGCATTTGTTTTTTGGGATTGACTAACTTCACTTCTCCAATACCATCCATTTACCTGCAATTGCCATGATTTTATTATTGCTGAGTAAAATTCCATGGTGTATATATGCCACATATTTTTTTATCCATTCATCCACTGAAGGGCATCTGGGTTGGCTCCAGTTTGCTATTCTGAATTGTGATGATATAAACATTGATGTGGCTGTGACCCTGTAGTGTGCTGTTTTCAAGTCCTTTGAGAATAGTCCGAGAAGAAGAACAGCTGGGTCAAATGGTGGCTTCATTTCCAGATTTCCAAGGAATCTCTATACTGCTTTCCATATTGCCGGCACCAATTTGCAATCCCACCAGCAGTGTGTGAGTGTACCTTACCGCCCCCATCCTCAGCAACACTTGTTGTTTGTCTTCAAAATAGCTGCCACTCTGACTGGAATGAGATGATATCTTAGAGTGGTTTTGATTTGCATTTCTCTAATTGCAAGAGATGATGAACATTTTTTCCATATATTTGTTGATTGATTCTATGTCCTTTTCTGAGAAGTATCTGTTCAGGTCCTTGACCCATTTCTTGATTGGATTATTTCCTTTTTTGGTGCTTAGCATTTTGAGTTCTTTATATACCCCAGACATTAGTTCTCTATCTGATGTGTGAGGGATAAAAATTTACTCCCAGAATGTAGGCTCTCTGTTCACCTCAGATTGTTTTTTTTTCCTGAGAAGAAAATTTTTAGTTTGAATCCATCCCATTTGTTGATTCTTGGTTTTAATTCTTGTGCTATAGGCATCTTATTAACGAAGTTGGGGCCTAGCCCCATGTGATGAAGATTAGGGCCTACTTTTTCTTCTATTAGATGCAGAGTCTCTGGTTTAAATCCTAGGTCCTTGATCCACTTTGAGTTGAGTTTTGTGCATGGTGAGAGATAGGGGTTTCATTTCATTTTTTTTGCAAATGAATTTCCAGTTTTCCCAGCATCATTTGTTGAAGAGGCTATCTTTTCTCCAATGCATGTTCTTGGCACCTTTGTCTCATATAAGATAATTGTGATTTTGTGGGTTAGTCTCTGGGTCCCCTCTTCTGTATCATTGGTCAATCTACCAGCCTGTTTTGGTGCCAATACCATGCTGTTTTTATTACTTTTGTTCTGTAGTATAGTTTACGGTCTGGTATAGTGATACCACCTGCTTTGCTCTTCCTGCTTAGAATTGCTTCAGCTATTCTGGATCTCTTATTTTTCCAGATGAATTTTATTATTGCTTTTTCTTTTTCTATGAGAAATGTCATTGGGATTTTGATCAGAATTGCATTAAATCTGTACAGTGCTTTTGGTAGTATGGTCATTTTGATAATATTAATTCTGCCTATGCAAGAGTAAGGTAGATCTTTCCATCTTCTAAGGTCTTCTTTGATTTCTTTCTTTAGGGTTCTGTAGGTTTTGTTGTATAGATCTTTCACCTCTTTTGTTAAGTTGGTTCCCAAGTATCTTATTTTATCTTTTTTTGAAGTTACTGTAAATGGGGTCGTTTTTCTCGTTTCCTTCTCAAGGCTTTGTCACTGATATACAGAAATGCCTTTATTTAATGGGTGTTGATTTTATATCCTGCTGCTTTGCTGAATTCATTTTTTAGTTCTAGAAGTTTTCTGGTGGTGCTTTGGGGGTCTTCTAGGTATAGAATCATATTGTTGGCAAATAGTGCTAATTTAAGTTCTTTTCCTGTAGTTACTCCTTTAACTTCTTTTGTCTGTCTAATTGCTCTGGCTAGTGTTTCAAGAACTATGTTGAATAGAAATGGTGAGAGAGAGCATCCCTGTCTTGTTCCAGTTTTTAGAGGGAATGCCTTTAGTTTTTCTCATTTAGAATGATGTTGGCCTGAGGCTTAGTGTACAGAGCCTTTATGATGTTGAGATATGTTCCTGTTATCTCTAGTTTTTCTAGTGTTTTGAACATGAAAGGGTGCTGTATTTTGTCAAATGGTTTTTCTGTGTCTCTTGAGATGATCATATGATTCTTATTTTTGAGTCTATTGATGTGATGAATTACCTTTATTGATTTAAATATGTTGAACCAACCCTGTATCCCTGGGACAAACCCCACTTGATCTTGGTGCACGACCTTTTTAATATGTTTTTGAATTCAATTTGCCAGAATTTTATTCAGAATTTTTGCATCGATTTTCATTAGAGATATTGGCCTGAAGTTTTCTTTATTTCATTTGTCCCTGCCTGGTTTTGGGATCAGGGTGATATTGGCCTCATAGAATGAGTTTGGAAGTGCTGCTTGTTTCTCTAGTTCCTGAAATAAATTGAAGAGTATTTGGTATTTTTGTAGTTCTTCTTTAAAGGTCTTGTTGAACTTGGCTTTGTATCCATCTCGTCCTGGACTTTCCTTGGTTGGTAAGCCTCTGATGGCATCTTCTATTTCATCATTTAATATTGGTCTCTTTAAATTGTGTATATTTCCTGATTCAATCTGGGAATATCATAGGAATTAATTCACTGTCTTCTATTTTATTGGGGTATACATTTTTAAGATAATTTCTAATTATCCTCTCTATTTCTGTAGTGTCTGTTGTGATATTGCCTTTTTCATCATGTATGCTGGTAGTTTGAATTTTCCCTCTCCTTCTTTTCATTAGCATAGCTAAGGTTCTGTCAGAGAACCAACTTTTTGTCAAGGTTTAATTGTTTCTTTTAATTCAATTTCAGTTCCAATTTTAATTATTTCTTGCCTTCTACTGCTTTTGCTGTTGATTTGTTCTTCTAGGGCTTTGAGATGAAGTATGAGATCAATGATTGACTTTCTCTTCTTTTAAGGAATGAATTCCATGCAATGAACTTTTCTCTTAGTACTGCTTCCATAGTGTCCAAGAGATATTGATATGTTGTGTCTGTGTTCTTGTTTTCCTCTAAGAATTTTTTAATCTCCTCCTTGAAGTCTTCTGTGACCCATTGTTCATTCTATTGTACCAAATTGATTCACTTGTTGAACTGCTTATAGAACTTGAGATATTTCAAGTTTGTCCTTTCACGAGGTGGAAGTGTCACGTTACATGTCTCCAAACATTAATATTTTATGAATATTTTACACATTGGGAATGTGTCATGGATGATACTTGAAACTAATTGTATTGGGGAGCTCAATCTATCTCATGGACACAAAGCAGAGAGAATAGCAACCAGACTGTCTTCAAAAGCTTTTTTACCACTCTTTTTGTCTCCCTTGGGCACAATCACCTTATGAGAATATCTCTGACAAGTCTGATTTGCATCTGGAATGTCTGCCAAATTTCACATTCAGTGATGGCAGAAGAGTTAGGAGTTGGGCTTTTATTAGGTGCTTGGATTATGGTATATATCCTTCACTTCACTCTGATATGGAGTATATATACTGTTTTTGGACTTGTGTATTTTCCTCTGAATTAGATAATGGAAAGTATCTTATGACATAATTAAAGTCACTCTCCTACATGACAGTCCGTTCTACTAACTCTTAATTCAAAACAAAAACTGAATAATGGTTTGGTGTGTGTGCTATTGATCTAACAATTTTTATTTCAGGAGCCATTGACATTCAGGGATGTGGCCATTGATTTCTCTGAGGAGGAATGGGAATGTCTGGATCCTGCCCAGCAGAATTTATATAGAGAAGTGATGTTGGAGACCTACAGCAACCTGGTCTTTGTGGGTGAGCATAACTTTCCCTCAAAATTCCTATTTATCATTATTTAATTTTCTTCCCTTGAAGTAGATCTTTTGGGAACTTCACCATAAGAATGAGTTTCAGATTTTTGCATTCAATAAAAAAGATGGGGTAGTTCTTGGTGCTGACAAGAAAATGTTAATGATGTTTCTTTTCGTCCTTAATGTTTTCCTTCATTGGCATAATATACATCCTTCACTTGACATATGGTTGACTTAGAGGAATGCAGTGATGTCAAATCCTGTGGCCCACATATAGCAGAGGACATAGTTGAGGTAGAGGAGGAAGCCTAAATTCAAAAAGGTTGATTGAGACATTATCCAGCAGAAAGGATTTTTGAGAAGCTTTGATTTCTTTCTCTTGTCATCGTAGAAGAACCTGTCCTGTGTTTTGTGCTTTAAAATTATCTAGTCTCCTGCTTTTCCTCCAGTAATGTCTCTGTACACTCAAATTAACAACAAAACTCTCCCTTTGCCTTGTGAGTGTCAATATTATCTGACAGCTCTTCCATCATTTTAAAAAATATTTTTAGTTGTTAATGAATTTCCCATTTATCCATATGTGGTGCTGAGGATCGAACCTAGGGCCTCACACATGCTAGGCAAGCCCTCCACCACTAGTCTACAATTCCAGCCCCTCTTCATTATTTACAGGAAATTTCTGCACATTTCTGGAGACCTCTAGGTCCACCCATTGTAATATATTGCTATCATAAGTCAGTTTCTCTAATCTTATTTATACATTTTTTTTTTCACTAAAATTTCCTTATCAGTGTTCTTTCTGATATGTGTAATGGATTTTCTGTGAAATTATTTGCCATGGAATGAATGTCAGATGGACAAAGACTGCTCTTTTGAGAGATGGTGTAAGTTGTAGTTGAATAAGAGGATTTGTAAAACAATACATCTGTGGATATTTACAATTTGGTTGGTTGATTTTTTCTTTATTTTTTCATTGTGTACAGTCGGTTCCATGTTATTACTGGGTTTCCTCATATCAGTTAATTCCTTCACAAATTAAGATATGCATGACTCTTGTTTGTATTGCCAATAATGTTAAATGTGCTTTTGCTTGGATAAATATTAAGCCTCGTTTGTCTATGACTTTTGTATTTTATCTTGATTGGCCTTTTATTCTGCCCATGTATGTAGAAATTGAAATTTTCTATATGTAAATGTAATGGGGTTTACCAAAATGAAAAATGTGGATACAAGAGAATGTATGGAGAAAGAGAGCACTATAAGTTTAGAAGATGTTGAGCAAGCCAATATAGTCTTTAAACACGCAGATACTATGACAATGATAAACCCTACAAATTTAAAAGAAAGGAGAAAAACATTTAGTGAAAGGTACAACTTGTTAAGAATCAGGGGATTTATACTGAAGAAAAGGCCTGTAAATGTAAAAAGTCTAGCAAAGCCTTAAAAGATTATTCAACTCTTACTCAACACCCCAAAATTTTTTCTGCAGAGAAGACCTACCAATGTGAAGAATGCAACACACTCAAGAATTTTACTCAACATCACAGTGTTCATACAGGAGATATGCCATGCAAAGAATGTGAAAAAACTTCTAATAAAAGCTCCAGTCTTATTTGTCACCAGTGGACACACATTGAAGAGATGCCCCACATATGTAAACAAGTTTGCGAAGCTTTTAATCAAAAACCAAGCCTAAAAAATCACCAGAGAATTTATACTGGAGAGAAGCCCTACAAATGTAAAGTGTGTGGCAAAAATTTTAATACAAAGTCACATCTTGATCGCCACAACAGGATTCATACTGGAGAGAAGCCCTACAAATGTAATGTGTGTGGCAAGAGTTTTAATATAGACTCAAATCTTGATCGCCACAACAGGATTCATACTGGAGAGAAGCCCTACAAATGTAATGTGTGTTGCAAGAGTTTTAGTCAAAAATCATCACTTACTCATCACCAGCGAATCCACACTGGAGAGAAGCCCTATAAATGTAAAGAGTGTGGCAAAGCTTTTAATCGCATCTCACAGCGTAATTATCACAAAAGGATTCATACTGGAGAGAAGCCCTACAAATGTAGAGAATGTAGCAAAGCTTTTAATAGCATCTCACAGCGTAATTATCACAAAAGGATTCATACTGGAGAGAAGCCCTACAAATGTAAAGTGTGTGGCAAAAGATCTAACACAAACTCACAGCTCAATTGCCACCACAGGATTCATACTGGAGAGAAGCCGTACAAATGTAAAGTGTGTGACAAGAGTTTTCATCAAAAACCATCACTTACTCAGCACCAGCGAATCCACACTGGAGAGAAGCCCTACAACTGTAAAGTGTGTGGCAAGAGTTTTAATAAAAAATATTCACTTACTCAGCACCAGCGAATCCACACTGGAGAGAAGCCCTACAACTGTAAAGAATGTGGCAAAGCTTTTAATAGCATCTCACAGCATAATTATCACAAAAGGATTCATACTGGAGAGAAGCCCTACAACTGTAAAGTGTGTGACAAGAGTTTTAGTCAAAAACCATCACTTACTCAGCACCAGCGAATCCACACTGGAGAGAAGCCCTACAACTGTAAAGAATGTGGCAAAGCTTTTAATAGCATCTCACAACTTAGCTGTCATAAAAGGATTCATACTGGAGAGAAGCCCTACAAATGTAGAGAATGTGGCAAAGCTTTTAATCGCATCTCACATCTTAGTTGCCACAAGAAGATTCATACTGGAGAGAAGCCCTACAAATGTAAAGTATGTGGCAAGAGTTTCATTAAAAAATCATCACTTACTCAGCACCAGGGAGTCCACACTGGAGAGAAGCCCTACAACTGTAAAGAATGTGGCAAGAGTTTTCGTCACAAAGCATCACTTACTGACCACCAGAGAATCCACACTGGAGAGAAGCCCTACACCTGCAAAGAATGTGGCAAAGCTTTTAGGCAAAGATCATCACTTACTCAACACCAGAGAATCCACACTGGAGAAAAGCCCTACAAATGCAAAGAATGTGGCAAAGCTTTTAATACTGTCTCTCAGCATAGTCGCCACAAGAGGATTCATACTGGAGAGAAGCCCTACCAATGTAGAGAATGTGGCAAAGCTTTTAATCAAAAATCAATACTTACTCAACACCAGAGAACCCATACTAGAGAGAAGTCCTATAAATGTGAAGAATGGCAAACCTTTTCAAATTGAAGATCATATCTTACTAAACATTATAGATTTTTTACTGCAGAGAAGTTTTACAAGTGAAAACATTGCATCGGTGTCTTTAAGCATGAATCAACCCTTATTTCACAGTAGTTCAACACTATTTCACACCAGAGATATGATAGCACAGAAATTATACAAGTGTAAAATAGGTGTCAGAGTCTCCAACAGTTGTTCACACCCTACTCAGCACCTCAGAATTCATACGAGTGAGAGGACATGTGGAAAAATTTTTGCAAAGCTTTTGGCCATTGATCAAACATTTTTGAAACACTGGAGGATTTACAGCATATAGAAACCCAAAGAATGTGTCCAAGACTGTATTCAAATTTCACACATTTTTAAATTTCTGACCTCATACCTGTAGCAAATGTGGAGTAGCATTTGTTCAAAGTATGTACCTTAGATAACAACAAAATATTAAAAAAACAACTTGACAAGTATAAAAATTTGTAAGTTTCTTATCTATAGCCCATCCCTTGAAGTATTTGGGACCTAGGAGGGAAAAAATCATTTAAATGTAGAAAATGGGTTATTGCTTTTGACATTTGCTGAAAATTTTCTTAACATCTTTAGCTGATATTGTAGAAATAAAGAAATACAAATATAGAATAGTGCACCCCTAAAAGGATATAATTTTACTATAAATCAACAGTTACTACATATTCTCATTTTTCTCAACTGGAGAAAACATAATTCTCATAGTTTGATTATTACAGAAGTCTCTTAAGGTTTATATGGAATTTAAAATTTTTGGTTTTTATGTTTGTACTTAAACTTAGGGACACTTAATCAGTAAACTGCATCCTCAGATTTTTTTTTTCATTTTTACTTAGAGAGAGAGTCTGCTAAGTTGTTTAGGGCTTCACCAAGTTATGGAGCCTGGCTTTTAACTTGCAAAGCTTCTCACATCCCTAGGGTCACAGGCATGGACCACCATGCCCATTTTACAGAGAATTTTTAATTATATTTGCATTATGGATGCAATTTGTTACTAAATAAAGTATGAATTTCTTAATGTTAACCTTGACATGCATTTAATGATGTTATTAGGTCACACATCTCCCACTATTCACTTTGCTAATGCATCAAATATAGCAAAACATTCTATTGGGTAAATAATGCTATAACGTCTCCCTTAATTATTTCATATAATTAATCAAGTTTTATTTGGGGAATATTATTTATGTGAATTACATATTCTTTTGTTTGTAATTATGCCAAAATTAAGTTACAGGAAGGACCTAGGAATACTAAAATGATGCCCAGATATCCCTAGTTTGAATTACAACTTTAACATTTCACCTTATAGAGTTGCAGTACTCCCTAAGGGATCTACAACTCTGGAGAGTTGCACAAGCTCCCAATCAGGGAGAGGAGAAAGACCCAAGAGACTAGGAGCCAATGTGCATATTCAGGTAAAAGGAGGGTTACTGAAGGGGAAGTAGTCTCAATGTTTCCCAGGGAAACCACGTGGTCCACAGGCCCATCCTGACTCTTGAACTGAAGAAACCATGCAGTTCCTCATGAATTCCATGACGTTCATCACTGAGGAGACTAGACTGACCTCAATTGTAGGAAGAACATCCCAATATAGGACCACCTCTTTAGTCTTGGATACCCAGTAGAAAAGTGTAACCAGAAACATGTAAAATGATGACTGTAAAAAGAAAAAGACACACTATAGGAGCATTTATGCCCCCACATTTTTAATTTCATTATATAGTTTGATTTTGTAGACCTTTTTCATTCTACTTAATAACTTGCAATATAAGGTTTGTTATACTTATTGGATTATATGATAGATAGCATGTGTCATGGTCTTCCAGACCCCTCTGCAACCAGTAATTATAAGATACTATAAACTAACCCTGTCCCTCCTCAGATCTTACAGCTCCAGGAGCCCATGACACCACAGAGAGAGAGAAACACAATTTTGATTGAAATAAACCTCTAGACTCTCATCTACAAGTCCTGTTCAAAAAGTAAAAACACAATATTCTCTTCATATGTGAGCCCTTAGGGTCAACAAAACACCACCCACAAACATTTCATTTAACTTTATTTGGGAAAATAAATATTGAAATATAATGATAAGTTCTAGGAGAATAATATTCACACTATTTTTTATTCCAAAGGGTAACTCTCTAGGTTTCATGCTTATCTCCACTCCATGTTATTTTACACAGAAAACTGGCTTCATTTTACATATGAGTTTTAACTATTTATTAGGCCAGGAGGGAAGATTCAGTACTAGAGGTCTAAGGAAAATACTAAAGATCCTCCCTTTCCATGTGCCTGCATGAGTCTGCTTATCCTTGATGATACAGCTCAAGATTGCCGATTTCTCAAAGCATCTGGCTCGGTGGCTCACTCATTGGAACCCCAATTTAATTACTCATCTCAAGGTTATCACTCCCTCCTCTGGGATCTGACCTGTTGAAGGAGGACCTAGTGTTCTTCATGGGATCACTAGGTCATGCAAGCTGTTAGAACAAGGAAAGCTTCATTCTAACTTGTATTGATTCAGCCCCAATTTAAATACAAGTTAGAACAAGACTTCAGACTCTCTCCTGTGGAGAGGATACTCTGCCCAGGACGTCCCAGTCAGGACCCTGAAAAGCTGTTTGGGACTCCCCAGTACGTAGGTTCAGTGTTGGGGTTTTCCTAGTCTGGCAATACAGTTGCCTGTGTCTGTTACTTTTTCTTTCTCTGTTGCTTTCATAGTATTACTCAAAGAAACACTGTCTGGTGTGAAGAGAGTGTCTTCCTTATCTATTGGACCTGACCTGCGAAGTTGAGCAGCTGCCCACATATGTAATGTCACAAACACATGTATGTGTTATCTAATCAGTAACTAGTGTATCTTTCAACTACATGATTTTTTATTGCATGGGGGAGGAAATTGAGAATGCTTTCTTTGAGTACACAGCACTATTAATAGTATCCATAACACTGCTATGTAATATTTCCTCTCTGCTCAAATTGTAAGTATTGTTCTTGTGCTGCTTTGTAAAATAAATAGAAAAGAGTTGTAAACCAAAAATTTTGTGACTATAGCTAGTTGCGCAGACTGACTTGGGCAAGTCTATTTACCATTGTTTATTATTTTGTATGGGCTCAAGGTACTCTTTTATAATTGTATTTACCCTTAATGACATTAGCATTTATTGAAGAGATTTTCACTCACAATCCTTCTCTGTATACAAATTTTCCCTTGTCATTTTTTAAAATTTCTTACTCTTTTTAGGTATACATGACAGTAGAGCAAATTTTGACATATTATACATGGAGTAAAACTCATTTTAGTTAGCATTCCATTCTTGAGGTGCACATGGTGTGGACCTTCCCTGGTGGTATATTTATATATGAACACAGAAAAGTTGTGTCTCATTCATTCTACTGTCATCTGTATTCCTATTTCCCTTTTCTTCCCTTCGTTCCAACTTTGTCTAATCCACTGAATTTCTATTCTCTCCCCCACCCTTGTTGAGTGGTTTAGCATCCATATATATTATATATAATGTCTGTTTCATTCTACTATCCTTCCTATCCCCATATCCCCTCCCCTCCCTGCACTCCTCTCTACTTAATCTAAAGTCACTATTCTTCCCCACCCCCCATTGTGAATTAGCCTCCACTTACCAGAGAGAACATTTGGCCTCTGTGTTGTGTGTATGTGTGTGTTGGGGGGGCTTAATTCACTTAGCATGATATTCTCCAACTCCATCCATTTACCACCGAATGCCGTAGTTTCATTCATCTTTAAATCTAAGTAATATTCAATTGGTGGGGGAATATATATATATAAAATCACATTTTATTTATCCATTCATCTGTTGAAGGACACCTAGGTTGGTTCTATGGTTTAGCTGTTGTGAAGTGTGCTGCTATAAACCTTGGTGTGGCTGTGTCCCTGTAGTATGCTGTTTTTAAGTCCTTTGGGTATAGTCTGAGGAGAGGGATAGCTGGGTCAAATGGTGGTTCCATGCTGGTTTTGCAAGGAGTCTCCATACTTATTGACATCCTGACCTTCAGCGAATGTGGCATTCAGAAACATGTTTGGCACTTAATTGCTGCCTCAGAATTCTTACATCTTACTGAGAAACCTTTACCAGACTTTGTAAGCAAGAACTAGAAGGAAGGTTCTAGCTATGGCTTATGGGCCTGTGTTCAATCTCCTTATGCTTTAATTACTAGAAATGTAAAAGTTAAAAGGGAAGACGATAGATATCTTGTTACATGTAGTAAATGTAATTTAACTAATTGTAACAACAGAAATACTAGAGAAAAAGGAACAATGATACTCCATCAGCCCTCTTTTGTCTTAGTACCAGTAAATATTTCAGAGCCACGGTAGGCTGATGCTGATGCTTCAAGTCTTACAACAAATACACGCCCAGCTAGCGAGACCTAAATGTGCTCTTGGGCTCATAATAGTGGGAGTTGTTGCCTTGGTTTCTTTTATTGCTTCCGTGGTCACAGCTTTGGTGGCCATATCTCAAATATTCAACATGCAAATTTTCTTAATAATTTGGCTCAGAATACTTCCAAGGCTCTTCACAATCAAATAAATGTTGATGAAAGGATTGAGACCAAGCTAAATGCCTTAGAGGCTGCTGTCATGAATATAGGTAATGAACTTTCCACTTTGAAATTCAAGGAAAGACTTAAATGTCCTGCTAGGTGTAAGTATGTGTGTGTTACTGCTGCCAAATGCCATGCTTCTTATTGGTATTGGGAGAAGGTTCAGAACCATTTGTTGGGTATTTGGCAGAAGAATGATAACAGCTTGGATCTTTTGGAGCTGCATCATCAGACTCAAGATATACAAAAAAGTAAGATTGATTTTTCAGATCCTACTTCTTTAGCTGATCAAATACTTTCCAGCTTTAACCCTGGAAACATTCTTAATCCCTCTGCATGATATATCCTTGTATTGTTCTCGTTGCTACTAATTCTCTCTTGTGTTGTAATTATAGGATGTCATGCCCCCAGAACAAGAATTTAGGGACTCAAAATAATGACCCATCACCTGGTTTTTCAAAGAAAGAAGGACGGCTATGTGGGAAGCCCCTCTGAATGACCCACGCCTTCTCGTCCTGAAGCAGGAGGCTCTGACCAGTCACTACATTTCTGGTGACTTGGGCGTTGTCCCAGCTCAGATAAAGAGGGGGGTCTTCAGATGTAGGCGTTACTCATGAGGGTTGAGTTATACTCATGTGTCTCTTGAAACCCTGCCCCCTCTGGCCATTTTTGAATAGAACTTTCTAAGAACAAGGGTTCCCCAATAAAAGCTCTCTTCTGAATGTGTCACTTTCTCACCAGCCTCTCGTGACTTTCTCTTGCCCTCCCTTTTGGGGATCCTGAGGTCAAGAGTGGAGAAGCCGTCCTGAAGCTTGGGTAAAGGAAAAGTGTGTCTGTGTTTTATTTGGTGTCCCTGGAATTTCACACGAGTGACCTTAAGTTCAGCTGACTGTGCAGGTCGGGGGTGGCAATTTGTAACTGTGTGGGCAGTAATTTGTAACTGGTGTTCAGAGGGATCACACACACACACACACACACACACACCCCTTATATTTTTCAAGAGTAAAAGCAAAAGCAAAAATGGCCCTGGGATGACTAGATATCCACAAGAAGAAAAAAAAGTATTTGGATATGTACCTCACATCATATACAAAAGTAAAATTTTTTTTAAAAGGATCAAAGTCCTTTGTGTAATAGCTAGAAGCATAAAACTCATAAAAAACAGTTGAGGAGATTTTGGTTACTTTGGATGTGCTGATGGCTATGTAATATTTGTATTTATTTTAATCAGTTAGAATAATCCCCGTTTAAAAGTGGTATGATTTCATGTCAAAATAAACCTTAATGTTACGTATAACTGAAATTCACTAATAAAAAATAAAATTTAAATATGAACAAAGGCACTGGAGATGTAGCTCAGGGGTAAAGCACCCCTGAGTTCAATTTTCAGTACCAACAAATAATTATTAAAGGAACAAAGACATTTCTGAATGTAAT